GGCACCATCATCGTCTGCCACAGCATGGGCTACAAGTATGGGATTAGGGGAATTTTGGGATTTGGGGGATTTTGAGATTTTTGGGATTTTTGGGATTTTTGGGATTTTTTTGATTTTTGGTATTTATGGGATTTATGGGATTTTTGGGATTTTTTTGATTTTTGGTATTTATGGGATTTATGGAATTTTTGGGATTTTTTTGATTTTTGGGATTTATGGGATTTATGGGATTTTTGGGGTTTATGGGCACCGACGGCACCGTCATCGTCTGCCACGGCATGGGCTACAGGTATGGGATTAGGGGAATTTTGGGATTTGTGGGATTTTTCGGATTTTGGGGATTTTGGGGATTTTTTTGATTTTTGGTGTTTTTGGGGTTTGTGGGATTGATGGGATTTATGGGATTTATGGGATTGATCGGGACCGTCATCATCTGCCAGGGCATGGGCTACAAGTACGGGATTTATGGGAATTTTGGGATTTTTGGGATTTTTTTTGATTTTTGTGTTTTGTGGGATTGATGGGATTTGTGGGGTTGATGGTATTTATGGGATTTGTGGGATTTATGGGATTGATGGGCACCGTCATCATCTGCCACGGCATGGGCTACAAGTATGGAATTTATCGGAATTTTGGAATTTTTGGGAATTTTGAGATTTTGGGGATTTTGGGGATTTTTGAGAGTTTTGGTGTTTATGGGATTTGTGGGATTATGGGATTTATGGGATTGATGGTCACCGACGGCACCGCCCATGGCATGGGCTACAAGTACGGGATTTTGGGATTTATGGGAATTTTGAGATTTTTGGGATTTTGGTGGATTTTTGGGAAAATGGGATTGATGGATTTATGGGATTTATGGGATTTGTGGTATTTACGGGATTGATGGGCACCGTCATCGTCTGCCACAGCATGATCTACAAGTACAGGATTTATGGGAATTTTGGGAATTTATTTATGGGATTTATTTATGGGATTTATTTATAGGATTTTTGGGATTTGTAGGGTTTTATGGGATTTATTGGATTTTTGGGGTTGATGGGATTGATGGGCACCAACGGCACCGTCATCGTCTGCCACAGCATGGGCTACAAGTACGGGATTACGGGAATTTTGAGATTTATGGGATTTATCGGATTTTTGGGATTTTTAGGGTTTGTGGGATTTTGGGATTTATGGGATTGTGGGATTATGGGATTTATGGGATTTATGGGTACTGGCGTCACCGCCATCGTCTGCCACGGCATGGGCTACAAGTATGGAATTTATCGGAATTTTGGGATTTTTGGGGTTTATGGGATTTTTGGGATTTTTTTTTATTTTGGGGTTATTGGGATTGATGGATTTATGGGATTATGGAATTATGGGATTGATGGGATTGATAGGCACCGTCATCGTCTGCCACGGCATGGGCTACAAGTACGGGATTATGGGAATTTTGGGGTTTATTTATGGGATTTTTCAGATTTTTGGGATTTTTTTTATTTTTGGGGTTTGTAGGATTTATGGGATGTATGGGATTTTTGGGGTTTATGGGATTGATGGGCCCCGACGGCACCGTCATCGTCTGCCACGGTATGGGCTACAAGTACGGGATTATGGGAATTTTGGGATTTGGAGGATTTTTGGGATTTATGGGATTTCTGGGATTTACGGGATTTATGGGGTTTATGGGATTTTTGGGAATTTTGGGATTTTGAGATTGATGGGATTTATGGGATTGACGGATTAATGGGTTTTGAATTCTTTGGAATTTTGGGAATTTTGTGAATTTCAGGATTTTTTGGGGGGAATTTCAGGAATTTCAGGAATTCTCTTTCCCTCCCCGCAGTGCCCTGCTGCAGAATGCGCTGCTGGTGCCGCTCCAGGGGCACTGGGAATTTGGGGAATTTTTGGAATTTCAGTGATTTTTTGGAATTTCTGGATTTTTTTTGGAATTTCAGGAATTTTGTGAATATTTTTTTTGGAATTTCAGGAATTTCAGGAATTCTCTCTTTCCCTCCCCTCAGTGCCCTGCTGCAGAACGCGCTGCTGGTGCTGCTCAGGGGCACTGGGAATTTGGGGAATTTTGGGGGGATTTTTTTTGGAATTTCAGAAATCTCAGGAATTTCGGGAATTTTTTCAGGAATTTCGGGAATTTCAGGAATTCTCCCTCTCTCCTGTCTCTTATCCTGCTGCAGAACGCGCTGCTGGTGCCGCTCCGGGGCACTGGGAATTTGGGGAATTTCGGGAATTTTGGGGGGATTTTTTTTGGAATTTCAGAAATCTCAGGAATTTCGGGAATTTTTTCAGGAATTTCGGGAATTTCAGGAATTCTCTCCCTTTCTCCCCACAGTGCCCTGCTGCAGAACGCGCTGCTGGTGCCGCTCCAGGGGCAATGGGAATTTGGGGGAGCCGGAATTTCAGGATTTTTTTTTTTTAATTTAGGGAATTTTGTGAATATTTTTTTTGGGAATTTCAGGAATTTCAGGAATTTCAGGAATTCTCTCCCTCTCTCCCCGCAGTGCCCTGCTGCAGAACGCGCTGCTGGTGCCGCTCCAGGGGCACTGGGAATTTGGGGAATTTTTGGAATTTCAGTGATTTTTTGGAATTTCGGGAATTTTTTGGGGAATTTCGGGAATTTTGTGAATATTTTTTTTGGAATTTCGGGAATTTCAGGAATTCTCTTTCCCTCCCCGCAGTGCCCTGCTGCAGAACGCGCTGCTGGTGCCGCTCCAGGGGCACTGGGAATCTTGGGAATTTCAGGATTTTTTTGGAATTTCATGAATTTTGGGGATTTTAGGAATTGTAGGAATTTTTTGGGGAACTTTGGGAATTTTTTCGGGAATTTCAGGAATTCTCTCCCTTTCCCACAGTGACCTCCTGCAGAACGCGCTGCTGGTGCCGCTCCAGGGCACTGGGAATTTGGGGAATTTTAGGAATTTTTTCAGGAATTTCAGGAATTCTCTCTCCCCCGCAGTGACCTGCTGCAGAACGCGCTGCTGGTGCCGCTCCAGGGGCACTGGGAATTTGGGGAATTTTGGGAATTTTGGTGGTATTTTTTTTGGAATTTGGGGAATTTCAGGATTTTTTTGGGAATTTTGGGAATTTCAGGAATTCTCTCCCTTTCCCTTAGTGCCCTGCTGCAGAACGCGCTGCTGGTGCCGCTCCAGGGCACTGGGAATTTGGGGTATTTCAGGAATTTCAGTGATTTTTTTGAATTTCGGGAGTTTTTTTTTGAATTTTCAGGGGTTTTTTTTGGGAATTTCAGGAATTTCAGGAATTCTCTTTCCCTCCCCGCAGTGACCTGCTGCAGAACACGCTGCTGGTGCTGCTCAGGAGCACTGGGAATTTGGGGAATTTTGGGGGGATTTTTTTTGGAATTTCAGAAATCTCAGGAATTTGGGGAATTTTTTTGGGAATTTCGGGAATTTCAGGAATTCTCTCTCCTTCTCCCGTAGTGCCCTGCTGCAGAACGCGCTGCTGGTGCCGCTCCGGGGCACTGGGAATTTGGGGAATTTCGGGAATTTTGGGGGGATTTTTTTTGGAATTTCAGAAATCTCAGGAATTTCGGGAATTTTTTCAGGAATTTCGGGAATTTCAGGAATTCTC